GAGTTATTAACGATAAACTAATTTCCGGGAATATATACCTTTGTATGGGGGCTATGGGAAATATTGGACTGCCTTGAAAAAATAATGTGTGACAAAATTCATCGAAATATCTTTGAAATATGAAAAAAAAGTAATTTTTTGGAGGTAGTCTGAAATTTGTACTCATAACTTTTTACGTTGTGAACCGATTTTGCTGATTTTCAATACCAAACTGCTTAGGATAATAATAAATATTTTGGGTGAATTTGGTTTATTTCCTTTGCTTAGTTTTAACGTGAGCGTGTTTTACACAGACAGACAGACGGACATAGCTAAATCGACTAAGAATTTGATAAGGACCCAGAATATATATACTTTGTTGGGTCTTAGATGAATATTTCTTGGTGTTACACACTGAACCACAAACTTATATATACCCTCTATCACCACTGATGGTGGTGGTGGGTATAATTATATTATTATCAATTGTTGCTTAATTTTGCTCAAGTAAATTGCGATTATTATTTCCGAGTCCATGGAAAGTTAGTTCTAATCAAATTTTCGAAACTAAAAATCATTAACCCTCTAAACACCGGGGTCAAAATCAAATTTTTGAATTTTATGTTCTTGAAGAAATAAGAGCATGATGTTGTTAATTTGTTGATGGATATTGATGAAACTTCTTAGAAGTTATTCTTACTACATTCAAATAATACGATAAACCAAATACTGTATATATCCATTAAATCTTTAAGAAAATTGATTTTAGAAAATTCCTTTTTAAAAGTGTTTTTTGTAGTGTTTAAAAAATCGGTCTTGAATTGACCCCAAGTATGACAGAGGGTTAATTTTTGAAGAAGTTTGATTCCTAGATTTCTGGATATATTTTCGTGTAGTTTGTCAAAATGAATTCATAATTAAATACACAATATTTTGGTATTTTTAATGAAGAATATTAAATATACAAAAACTTGATTTTGACCCGGTTTTTAGAGGGTTAATGATTTTTAATTTCGGAAATTTTATCAGAAATAACTTTTCATGGACTCGGAAATAATAATCGCAATTTAATTGATCAAAATTAAGCAACAATTGGTAATAATATAATTTTTACTTAATTATTGGCAAAAATTGCCTTTTTCCCGAAATCCTTCAAATTCACATCGCAGGTACGGTAAAACTATGAGAGGTATTAAGCTCATTCTTTCTGTGTTTAATTCTTATATATATCCTTTATAATATCCAGCATTGAAACAACAAAATTTTTTAAAGTTTGAAAATGGAGTTTTGGAGATGCTGTTAAAATAATGTCCCTTTTTTTGACCACAGACTAAACCGAGTAAGCGTTATCCAATTTGAACAAAAATTCGTACTAGCACATTTATGAACCTTATAAAGATAAACATAATATTTTTTTGTAAAATTTTTCAAAACTAACAAAAATTTTCTTATATTTACTTTTATATGTCTTCAGAATCACAAAATTCTCGGGGGAAATTTTAATAACTCAAAACTTTTTTAACCAATTTATAATTGAATATTTTACAGTCTTCCATTTGACGTTGAAATACAACATAATTTCACTATTAGATGTTGATCCGAGCGAAAAGCCTATTTCGACCCACCCTAATATACATACATACATACAATAACAAAATCTCACTAAAAAATCATCAAAATGCTTAAATTTAAATCAATTTTTATTTAAAGAAAATATCCAAATTTATAAGTATAGTAATTTATAATTTTATAAATTTTAAATTAATTAACAATTTCTATTAGCAATAATTATCAATTACTTTGTTTACTTTTGTCAAATTTAAACACAAAAACATACAATATACTAAAACAAATTGCATACAATAACAAAGTCTTACTGAACAAACAACCCATCAAGTTTTATTGTTCAGTCAGCTTGATTTGTACTAACCAGTCAAACTATCAGTTTTTTTTACGTCCCTTAGTAAGAAAACGAAACCAAGAACTAAGCAATACGTAAGCAGCACACGCAAAACTGTTTTTACTGTTCAGTCGTTGTGTTCAGTTCGGCTGAGTTGAAAAACTTAATATGGCCGCTGCTTGTGAGTGTGGCTGCTGAAGAAAAACAAAACCACTTGCAAGTTATTGCAGCAGTGCGTTGACACAGTTGACTGACTTCAGTTAGCTTGTGAGGGAAAAATAAATACTTGAACTTTCTTCAGTTCAGTCGACATTTAAAAAAATAAAACTAAAAACTAAATATTAAACCCAGATATTTTTGTCATCTTTATTTATGCGATAAAGAAAACAAGTATGCGCCGCATAATTTTCGCACTCCATTTGCACAGTTGGCACCGCTTCGTATCGCAAACACCGACAGTCAGTAATAAAAAAAAAAACACACCACCAACAGACGCCTCCGATAGACGTCTTCTTATTTTTGTTGCAAAAACAAGGTGCATGTTTGATTATAAACAACCAATAAATTCAATCATATCTGACATTTAATTTGTTAGTGTTTTACGAGAATCTTGCGAAATTGTACTAAATTTGAAGAAGCATTATTTTTATGAAAACAAAAAATTAAACATGAAATAATATTAATAAATAAGTATTATTATGATGATGACGCAACAAATATTACGTGCATGCATTCGAACAAATTTGTTATAGTCTTATCAAAAGATAAATATGCTTAAGTTTATGCCTGAACGTTTGTTGAGTAAAAAATTTAAAAGAGTTCAATAGCGAATTTTATAAATACTTTGTCATAGAGTGATTACACCCCTGCACCTCTCTCAATAGCCATCAACTCATTTCCTTAATATCCTCACAGTCGTTTCTCTGAGGGGTATCTTTTATAATTTTCGACAACAGCATTGATTTGGCGTATCTTTTATCATTTTCGGCAACAGCATCGAACTTTTCCCGAAATATTGAATTCAGCTTGTATCAGTTTTTAAACTAACAATCTCTTCCAGTGATTTAGGTCCAACAGCCACCATATACGCCTCAAAGGAATATCTCCAATAACCGGTACAATACAAAATCCGTAATTCTGAGCCACCAGTTCCCATGGTATAATGTAATATTGATTCTCTGCTTTAACCGCGTGTCAATGACACCACAAATATATAGATCAACACCACGATGTGGCACTGATCAAAAATGGTTCACAGATTAAAAAGACGAGTGTTAATGTTGGTTCCAAAATTAAAGGAATATCCTTGAAATGGACGGTAATTATCGGACTACATTTCATCTAAATAGGGGAAAACCAAAATCATAGGGAGCCAAATCTGTTCTGTATTAAACTTGGTAATGGTATCCTGCTGGAACTACCTCATATGCCACTTTTGGTAAGCAGAACAGACGCTGTGGGATGAATCTAACGTAATGTTACAATGCGGATTAAGGTGCTTTAATGTATTTAATCATTATTGATGGTGGGTATAAAAAGTTAAAATCGGTCCATAATATCACCCAGCTCCCATGCAACCGGACTTCTGATTTAGGCTTTTAAGCAAAGCTACGTTAAATATACTACCCCAACTATGTTTTATATGAGCATAAATGACCATGCTGATTCTTGTAATGATCGGCCTGCAACTGGCCCCCTACAAACTGTCCTTTAGAAAATGCCTTTAATTAAAACTTTATTTTTGTTTATTTACCAAAAATAATTAAAAGCTAATCAAATGTTTTTATACTTTAAAGTATTTATTAATTAAATGAATTATTTTTTATTTATAATAATTTTATTTTTTATGATCTCTTAATACAAATTTTAAATATTTGTAAACTTTTGTGATCCTTAGGATATGATCTGAAAAGTTACTTAAATGTTTTTTTACTTTAAAGTATTCGTTAATTAAATGAATTATTTTTTCTTTATAATAATTTTATTTGTTATGATCTCTTAATAAAAATTTTAAATATTTGTAAACTTTTGTGTTCCTTATGTTTAAAAGCTTATTTATTTCCTTTTGAATTAATAAATATACAAAATCAATTTTATTTATATTTTTATACCCACCATCAAAAAAGATGGGGGGTATATTGTTTATGTCATTCCGTTTGTAACACATTGTCTAAGACCCATAAAAGTATATATATTCTGGGTCCTTATTAGATTCTAAGACGATCTAGCCATGTCCGTCCGTCTGTCTGTTGAAAACACGATAGAGTCCGAACGGAATGAGCTAGAGAGTTGAAATATTCTCTATAGGTAAGGTTTGTTTGGTATTGAAAATGGGCCATATTGGTCCACGTTTTCGGATAGCCCCCATACAAGTGGACCCCCGAAAAACTGCCTTAACGGGCATATATGTTTTAAATGTGCAACTATAGCGATGAAATTCAACATAAATAAGTTTTATATGAGCCAAAAACTCCCTGCCAAATTTTATGAGGATCGGTCCATAATTGACCCTACCCCCCATATAAGGTCCCCTTCAGAAAATGACTAACGCTCATTACTCGCTTAAAAATACGAGTATAGCGATGAAATTTGACAAAAGTATCTTAGGAGCCAAAACCTTTCCACAAAATATTATGTGGATCGGTCCATAATTGAAACGGATTTCAACATACACACGGGCATACATAAATTCATAATTACAAGACTGAGAGTTCTAAACGCAAGTTTTAAATATAGAAAAATTTAAAATAACTATTGATTATTTATTTAACTAAATTTTATATTATTACTTTTTTATTTATAATATACATAATTAAATTAAAAATTTCTTTTTTAAGATGTATGTAGGTTCATTAGGTTAGGTCCTAACATAATGAATTCATTAACTTTATGTTTGTTATAAATTTAATATTATTAAATTGTAGTTAATGAATTAATATTTATGCAAGCACTTCTTTTGCACAGTTTTATAATAAATAATTTATTTTAAACAAAAGGCAAATATAACAAATAAGAGAATTTTATATGAATTTTTGATCTGTTTCTTTTCGACTAATTAGTGGTTTAAAACATTAGCAAATATTTAGTATAAAAGCAAAATTAAACACATTTAGAAGTCATTCTATTATTTAATTTCAATAAACAATTAATATATACGAGCAAACCAAAAATAAAATGCATGTATTTGTAGTACTTTGCTTAGTGGCTGTAGTCTGTGCCAACCAATCCGGTTACAATTATCAATCAGTGGGTCATGGCTCAGATAACGTACCAAGTTATGCAGCACCACAAGGTGCTGCTGGATCACAAGGAGCACCTAGTTATGCTGGTCCTCAAGGAGATTTCGGCCAAGCTTCTCATAATGATGCTGCTTATGCTCCTCAAGCTGAACTCGACAAGGAATTCTTCACATACAGTGCCAACGAAGATGATTTCAATGATCCCGCTGCTTCTAATCAATTGGCAAACTCTGTGAAACAAGGTCTTCGTGTTGTTTTCATCAAGGGCCCTGAAAACAAGGGACTTGAAGATGCTGCACTTGCTCTGGCCAAACAAGCTGGTGAACAAAAGACCGCCATCTACGTGTTGAACAAACAAGCCGACCTCGGTAGCTTGGCCGACAAATTGAACAACGTTAATAAGAACAGCAACAACAAACCCGAAGTACACTTTGTCAAGTACCGTACTCCTGAAGATGCTGTCAATGCTCAAAGGGCTATTCAAGGTCAATACGATTCATTGGGAGGCCATTCTCAATCTCATGATGGTGGTGTAGCACCTGTTTTAAACTTTGCCTCCAATGCTCCTGTTGCTTCCCATGGTGCTGCTTCCTCTCCATCTTCTTCATATATTCCCCCCGCATCTGGTTCTATTGCATCTGGTCCAAGTGCTTCTTACCTCCCATCATCAATTTTCCGTCGTTTGTAAATAATAGGTAATGATGATATTATGCTAATAGACTGATCGTTATTGTTATTGTTGTTTATTAATGTTAAGCGAATAAATAATTATATTTAAAACACATATAAATATTTAAAACTTTTTTTATACGCACTATGAGAAAAGGTTGGGGTTATGTTATATGTGTTGTCATTCCGTTTGCAACCTATCGAAGATTAATCGTAGACCCACAAAGGTAAAAAAGATGGGGTATATTGTTTTTGTCATTCCGTTTGTAACACATCGAAATATTGGTCATTGACCCACAACCGTATATATATTCTGGATCATTATTAAATTCTAAAACGATCAAGCCATGTCCATTCGTCTGTCTATTAAAATCACGATTGGGACCATACGGAAGAAGCTAGACAGTTGAAATTTTGTATAAATATTCTCTATTGATGAGGTTTGGTTTTTGGTTTGTTTGGTATTGAAAATGGGCAATATCGGTCCACGTTTTCGGATAGTCTCACGCTTTAACGGGCATAACTGTTTCAAAAGTACGAGCATAGCGATGAAATTCGTCACAAATAAGTTTCATATAAGCCAAAATCTCTCCACCATATAAAGTCCTCATCAAAAAATGACTGCAACGCTCATTACTGCCTTAAAAATACGAATATAGCGGTAAAATTCGACACGGTTTTATGCGACTCAAAATCTATATACCAATTTTTTGAGGATCGGCCCATAAATGACCCTACCCCATTTAAGGTCCCCTTCAGAAAATGACTTTGACGCTCAATACTGGCTAAAAAAATACGAGTATAGCAATTAGTAAGTCTCTTACAAGTAAGTTTCTTACGAGCCAACGCCTCTTTTCTGCCTTTTATGAGAATCGGCTCATTATTGACCCCATCCCTCATATAAGGTCACCTTCAGAAAATTACTCTAAGTAAGGTTCTCAAAATTTGTGTCGAATTTCATCGCTGAACTCGATTTTTTAAGCCAATGAGCGAGATGAGATTAAGCCATTAATCTCTCTACCAAATTTTATGTGGATCGGTCCATAATAGGCCCTACCCACCATATAAGGTCCCCTTCAGAAAATTATTTTAACGCTCATTACTGCCTTAAAAGTAGGGATGAAATTCGAAATAAGTAAGTTTCTAACTAGCCAAATCCTTTCTCGGCAAAAGATTGGCCCTACCCCCCATATAGGGACTCCAATTGAAGCATCCCAGGAAAAACTTTACTTACCCGGTTAGCAGGCAAGTAATATTGGAAATACTTACTTTTGGGGTGATTAACTAATTATTTTTGTTCGACGAGGTTCCAAAAATAACTGGTTACAAATGTGCTTACACGACTTTCCCGGGCTTAAACCTGGCTCTACAGTTATTTTTTGTGTTTATTAGTCTTTCCGCTTACTCAGTGCTCCATTAACAAATTATTTTATAGTACTTTTTGGAATAGTTTTTACATAAAAGTAAAAAATCGACGTTTTTTAAAAAAATACTATATCAACTATGATTCGAACCACAAACTTTAGAAAGATGCTTTAGATAATTGGACTGATGCTCTAGATAATTGGCTACAAATCCCATTGAAAACAAGTAAGAATCTAATATACTCACAATCAAACCGTATGCCATAAAAGAAATGCTCTCCTATAAACATCGGGGTGATATTACTCATCAAATTTACTGAAGAGGACCTTATATGAGAGATGAATTACGGTGAATTATTGACCGATTTTCATAAAATTGTTCATAATTTTTTTTAGACCGATTTTGGTTCATATAAAACATGTTTACATCGAATATGAGTTCCCGACACTTTCCGCTTTAAATTCGGTAGGAAGATTTACGTACCTATAAAAGTTTCTTAGGTTTTGGCTCGTAAGAAACTTACTTATGTCCAATTTCATTTCTACACTCATACTTTTAAGCCAGTAATGAGCATTAAAGTAATTATCTGGAAGGGACCTTCTATGGGGGAAGGATCAATTATGGACTGATCCAATTATGGACCCATCCCCATAACATTTTGTAGGGAGACATTGGCCATACTCGTACTTTTAAAACAGATATGCCCGTTAAAGCTGTTTTCGAGGGTCCACTTGTATGGGGGCTATCCGAAAACGTGGACCGATATTGCCCATTTTTAATACAAAGAAACCTTATCTATAGAGAATATTTGCGCAAAATTTCAACCCTCTAGCTCATTCCGTTCGGACTCTATCGTGCTTTCAACAGGCAGACATGGCTAGATTGTCTTAGAATTTACAAACGGAATGACAAAATCAATATATCATTTTTGATGGTGGGAACAAAAATTAAATAATGTTATTGATAACGACTACTCATTACCAGGTAATGTATTAAATACTCATTACCAAAATTTAAAGATTTTTGGCTAGGATATAAAAAAATTTATAAATTAATATTTTGTTACTTCAAAAGAACTCGGTCCATAATTGACATAAGCCATATTCCAAATATCACCCTGATGTTATGGGAGCATTCCTCCTACGGCATACGGTTTGATTGTGGGTATATGAGATTCGGCACAGCGGAATATAACACTCTTACTTGTCACTATTGAAAAAAACTTTGCACACGTCTTAAGCTCACAGAAATTATATTGCAAAGTCTGCCGGCCATATTTGAAAAAGCTCTATTCAAAAGAACATTTTACTATCGAAAATGGACACGTGATTGTGCTACTTTTTACAAGTTTTTGCTTTATAAATCGAACAAAATTATAACACTGTGCAACAAGAAAATCAGAGAGGGTTTGCTGAAAAATGTTTTGATATCGAGCCCTTTTTGCAAGCGTAAGCGACATGATTGTCGATTTTCTTTTTTTATAGAAATCTATAATTTAGGTATAGTTTCAACTTTACAAGAAAAAGAAAAAAGACGTAAGAACACATTTATTTTGTGTCGGTTACGTCTAAATTTTCTTTTAAAATATATTATGTACTAAAATTTATAATTTTCTATAACTTTATATGAATTCAGTTCATTCTAATTACTAATTATATTGCATTTATATTATTACCATTTAACCAACTCTTATATTTGGTTGTATGTTTGTGGATTTCGGAAGGCGGACCTATATATGAACTCTTAATGATCGAAACTACCAGAATTACTTATTTATTCGATATATGGCGAATTGTACTACCATGTATGGATATTAATGGACATCTGGGTGATTTTCAGAATACGGCCTTTAACAAGGGATTTGGTCAATTGTGGACCGAGGTCTATAAAATTTCAACGTGAGATTAGTTTCGAAAACAAACCTTTTTTGTAAAATTTTATCATACTTTCTTAATTTTTGAAAGATTTATTAACTGTAAACTTATTTTATGTATGAGGGGCATACGAACCCATCTCATGTATAATATTATTATATATGAGAAATTTTTCTGAAACAAGTTAAATTTAAAATGCCTTTAAAATTTAAAGTTTAAAATTTAAAAATTAATTTAAAGTTTAAATTAACAATACGAGCTAATTTTTTTAAACTCTTTGGTCTTGTTCGGGAAAGATTCGAAGTCCCAAAATTTGTTGTATAGTGTAATTTGATAGTTTTTCATGCCCAGTTCTTTTTAAATTTAGTTTTTTCATGCGAAATTGTTTTTTATATGTTGGGTCATCGAATCTTTCCATATTGAGACTAAGGGGAAATGAAAGTGGACAATTAATAGATCAAATTCAATAAAGGGTTTTAAAAGTTAGATCGAATTCAAAATTTATATTCAGGGACCGTAACTGTTATGACTTTTATTATAAAAGTCACAAACTAAGTGTTATTTTTTTATTTTTATTTTTCTGAGCAGAAATAAAAGTTATTTTTTAACTTTTGTTTTTTCGAGCAAAAATACAAGTTATTTTTTGACTTTTGAGCAGAATTTATTTAAAAATTCAAAAATAATTATTATTTTCGGTCCCTGTTTATATTCATATAAAATTCACTATTTTCATCAATATTTTCCCAAATATATTTTAGAGAGTAATTCCCCGAAATTTTGAACGTGACCCTTCTGATTTTGATGAAATTATTTTCATACTTACAAAATTAAAAGTTTTCAAAAATTTCCATCTTCGTTTTGATGTTATCGAGGTTCAAAATTCATATGTACTTTTTAAGAGTTTTTCCAAAATGCACAAAATTTTTATACCCTCCACCACCATCAGTGGTGATAGAGGGTATATATAACTTTGTCATTCCGTGTGTAACACCAAGAAATATTCATCTGAGACCCACCAAAGTATATATATTCTTGGACCTTATAAAATTCTGAGTCGATTTAGCTATGTCCGTCTGTCCGTCCGTCCGTCCGTCTGTCTGTCTGTCTGTCTGTCTGTATAAAACATTCTCACGTTAACACGAAGCAACAAAAATTAACAAAATTCACCCAAAATATTAATTATTGTCCTAGGCAGTTTGGTATTGAAAATGAGCAAAATCGGTTTACACCGGGAAAAGTTATGAATCAAAATTTGAAACAACCTCGAAAAAAAATAAGCATTTTTTACACATTCTCGAAAACTGTGAATGATAATTCCATGAAAATCGGCATACATTCGTTTCTACACAAGAGCTTGTTTCCCGCTGAAAATTGCCTGAATCGGTCCACAATTTCATATACCTCCCATACAAAAGTACATATTCCCGGAAAATGGGTTTTTTGTTAATAACTTCCGTCACAATGTCGAAATCTTTACAAAATTTTACAAATTAAAATCTTATGTCAATAGAAATCATTCAGAGAAAAATTTTCTGGATCGGTCCATAATTGGACATAGCTCCCATACAAGGTCCCCTCCCGAAAATAACTTAAACGCACATAATTCATTTCTAAATTAAGTCATATATATAAAATTTGGTACAAGTATTGCCCTCACATACAGAAGTATTACTGTGATATTTTTTTTTCCATAGGTCCATAATTGGTCATAGATCCCATACAAGGTCCCCTCCCGAAATCACTTAAACGCGCATAACTCATTACTAACATAAGGCATCCATATAAAATTTGGTACAAGTATTACTCATGTGCACAGAAATATTATTGTGAATTTTTTTTCCGATCGATCCATTATTGGTCATAGCTCCCATACAAG